GGGGGGGGGGGGGGGGGAGGGGTTTGACGGCTGGGCTGAAGGCTGGGCGAGCCAGCGTTTGGTGGCTGGGCGGCGGCTGGTCGGACGTGGGTGCAGCCACAAGGGTGTGTCAGGGTGTTGGGCGCCGGGGCGTCAACAGGCAGGCGAGCCGCACAGTCCCGGGGCGCCAGCGACTCCAGCAGCGCGCGCGTGCGCGCGCGTGCGCGCGCGCACACACACTCACACACTCACACACACTCACATACGCACGCACGCTTGTACACGCACACACAAACACGCCGCCTTTGGCGCCACGCCGTCAAAAGCTCTCCTGCGGCGGGCCTCTGCGAACTTCGCCGACCGAGCGGCCGCACGCCGGCAACCCCGGCTGCGCGCGCCGGCGCGGCCCCCACGCGCACCGGGCACGACTTGACGTTCTGGATTCGCGCCCAGATGTAGCCGCTCGCCCCTTTTTCCAGGTAAAGGCACGGCAGGCTCTTGGGGCCGGCCGCCGCCGCGCGGCCGCCGCGCGCCTTGGCCTGCTTGGCGGCGATGCCCGCGGCCCAGCCGGCGGCCAGCCCGGAGTGCACCCGCTCGGCCTCCCAGAGCGCCGCGGCGGCGGCGCGCTCCACCTATTTCGCGGCACAGGCGAGGGGAGGGGGTGGCAGGAGCGTCCGGCCTCAGGGCTCGCGGCGGCGCGCCGACGGCGGCGGCGGGGCGCGCCGCCGGCCCGCGGCGGCTCGTGTGACGAGCTGCCTGCATACGGCGCTGCGACGCCGTCGTGCTGACGTGGCGAGGCTACATGCCCTTTCCCCCTCCCCTTGGCTCCCCCTGCCAACCACTCTGAGCAACCGCACGACGCAGTCACGATCCTAATCCTCAATCTTAATCCGAAACCTTAATCTTGGTTCTGAACCCTTTCCTGATTCCAAACACACCCACCTTGGCCACCTCATCGCAGATGAGGTGCGCGTGCACGCGCCCATGACTCTCCCGCTGTCGCCTCAGCCGCTCAAACACCTCCGCCCCCCCCTGCCGCTCCCCCGCCGCGATCGGCCGCTTGCGCCGCACGGCCCCGCCGCCGAGGCGGCCCTCCGGGACGGGCGCGACGACCGCCTCGATCGCGGCGACCGCGGCGCGCAGCTGCTTCACGAGGGCGCGGGACGTGAGGGGCACGGCGTCCTGGGCGGTGGCTACGGCGAGCACGTGCTCGGCGGCGGCGGTGAGGGCGGGGGAGGAGGCGGCGGCGTCAAATGAGGCGATGACCGGCCGCAGCA